TAGAGTTTTGTCAGATGAAGCATTGTTTACCATTCTTAATTTCAGACGCGTATTTTTTATCTTAATTTCAGCTACGTTTTTTATCGCTTTCAAATCGTCTTTCCACGATCGTTATTAAGCAGAGGGGTTTGTTTTCTCTAAATTCCTGAGAAAAACATTGTTTTTTTTCTGAGATCTGCATTTTTCTTTACACGAATGTTTGTTTGGTGACAGTCCTAATGAATGAGTTTACGAATTCTTTGCACATTTTCTGGATTATTTGTGGTGATTGAGCAGACTGAATGCTCACCATGTTGATCATCTGTTCATTCAACTGGCCTTGAAAACTGTGTTCAACTTAAATTATGTTCGCCAAAAGACCGACAAAGCATTTGAGTGACTCGGTAACAGATGTGTTCAGTTCGAGAAAGAAAACAATCAAAAAATGTAATTGAGACTTTGTAAATATTTAAGAGAAAGATTCACCTACAAACTGATGTATGCATAACGAGATAGATAGATAGATAGATATGAACAGACCAAGATAGATAGATAGATAGATAGATAGATAGATAGATATGAACAGGCCAAAATAGATAGAAACAGTTCAAAATAGATAGATAGATAGATAGATAGATAGATAGATAGATAGATAGATAGATAGATTAACATATAGAGAGACGAGACATTTATCAAGAAATATTAATGTTTATCCTTATCCAAGACAGATAGATAGATAGATAGATAGATAGATAGATAGATAGATAGATATAAACAGTTCAAAATAGATAGATAGATAGAAATATTCCAAAATAGATAGATAGATAGATAGATAGATAGATAGATAGATAGATAGATATGAATAGGCTAGGGTAGATAGATATTGATACTAATTAATCCATAGCTTGGGGGAGAAGAGGTGGATTCAAACCTTTCACGAGGCTATTTGCGTGTAAGTGAATATAACGAACCCAACGGGAATTGGAACTCGGTTCTTCGATTAACAATTCTAAGTCATTATCTATTGCACCATCCGCACATCCAAGCTTACAGCACATGGTATTTTGAAGCGGTCATCCATCTAGGTACTGGCCAGGCTCGAGGTTGCTTAACTTCTATTTTAACGTGATGTAAGGCTAGGAATTTTTCAAGTGAAATAGTTGATGTAGTTTTTGTTATGTGATAAAAGTTTTTCGTTAGCGTCAGTCTATAGAGTCCGGTGAATGACCTTCTTCCTTCAGATTTATCCGTTTGACGCCATTTTGAATCATTGATCTGAAAAAATCGTTGTAAACCGAAGATAATTTAGATATTTCTGATTGTGTTAACCGTGCCATGTATGACATCCATATGAGACGAGTTCAATCTGACGAGTTTATTTATTTTCTGAATAATATTGTTTGTAGCATCTTACGCTACTGAACATAAGTTTCCCTAGAGCAATCTATCTTCGGTTCAACTTTTTTATCTTCCATATCAAATTCGTTATAATCCTTTCTTAATTTCTATTTGAATTTCTGGAATGAGGACTTATCCTTATTTAGATAATACCCGAATCGACAGGCACTTAAAGAAGGTCAAAATGCGTAACGACCGAACGCTATAATAATAACGATTTTATAACAACTTTTAACTTACATTATATCCAATCTCACCACGCTTGATTTGTCGAGAAAGAGGCTTCCATATGTTATCGGTCTGGAGGGGTGGAGCGATCCCAACGTGCGACACCTTTGGAAAGTGCCTGAAAACCATACCACGGGTTGACCGGAGCCTTGTGAGTGAAACTGGGTAGACGGAACACTTGGGAGCCGTCGATAGTTGCGCTAGCACGAAGTCATAAGTCATCGTGACCGAGGGTTTAAATGTGCTGGACTTGTTCAGATTGTTGATCACGCTAGATAACACGCTCTCTCCCAGATACTATCACTAAGGTCTGCTCAACCACAGGTGGGATCTGTGGGTGTTGAACAAATACAAATGTGCCTGAGTGAGCGTCAGCAATAGGGATTGGCTAGCCGCCTAGTAGACGAGTATATATATATATATATATATATATATATATATATATATATATATATATCCATAATGTTGAATGTGTTCAAATAATACAATTTTTTAACAAGAAAAATCTCAAGTTGATGTTGAAATTGCCGCAAAACATTATTTATTTAAGATGGAATTATCTATTATAACATGTTTTTAATTTGTATCTAGATACATTGTACTTATTTCAATTTTTCTAATTGAATTGTTCAACTTATTGTATATGATGCATTATTGTACATAATTAGGTTACAATAAAATTTGAATTTTATATGAATACGACCTTATGAATATAGTGAGGGGGGGCGTATCATAGATTCGGCTGCGACACCCTTGCATTGGACCTGCTCTTCTATACTGACATTTACTTCCTGATAATGAGAGGGAGGGACAACAAAAAATAATCAATAAAAATAGAAGAAAAGGTTGGAATTTGGACAGTTTATGAATTGTTAAAAATGGCTTCAAGTGACTGAATCCACTAGGTTCAAAAGAAAGCAACACTTTATCAGATCTTATAGACTCGCGCTACAGAATTAAGAACAAAACGCTCGTCCGATCACCGAACTTAAGCAACGTCGAACATGGTCAGTACCTAGATAGGTGACCGCTGTGAAATACCAGGTCCTGTAAGCTTGAATGTACGGATGGCGTAATGTATAAAGGTTTGGAATGAGAAATAGGAAAACCGGGTTCGTTATATTCCCTTACGTGCAAATAACTTTAGGAAAGGTAATAATCTACATGTCCTCCTCCTCCTCCTCCTCCTCCTCCTCCGCTTCTTTCTCCTCCTCCTCCTCATCCTCGGCTATGGCAAAAAAAATCTTACAATCCAAAAATATTTGTTGGCAAAATAACCTCCAAAAAGTTGATAAACCGAAAAAAAGCAAATCAATCAATAAAAACAAAAAACAGCAGCAACAACTAAAAGGCATATCAAGTGTAACTAGAAGGGAAATAATGATATATTCCAAATATTGACTTTCCACATTACCTTAAACAAAAGGTTTGGAAGGAAACTCCCATCAATGCAAGAAAGAGCGATAATAATGGAGTTGAGACGTCTATTTTCCTGAAAATCTTTTTTAAGAAAAAGATTTTATAAATTTCAACCGACAGTAACACTAACTGTTCAGTCATTGATTACCGAATATTTCCTGTATGGAAACGGTTAATTTTACCATTATCAGAACCATTGTCAGAAACATTACCAGAAACATTACCAGAACTATTATCAGAACCGTTATTAAAACCATTACCAGAACCATTGACAAGAGCCAAAGAAATACAGAGCATCATATTTTATGCCGGCTTGGCTGAAGGAGTAACGGGAAGTTTCTCAGTGTTTACAGCCAACGGCAGTCGGGGCTCCACTCTATATTTTCTGTCTTTCTGGATTTGCTTCCATAGCCATTTCCTTATATATATATATATATATATATAAAGAGAGAGAGAGAGAGAGAAAAAAATATATATAGATATGTGTGTGGTAATAATAGTTGTTTCCCTACAGGGAAACATTTGGCATTAATTGAACGGGCAGCCAGTATAACTTTCGGTTAAAATCTATCAAATTTTTCTCTTTTCCCGGAAAATAGGTTTCTCAAGTTCAGTAGCTGTTATTGCTCTTTTCAGTATTGATGGAGGTTTCCATTCTAATCTTTTATTTCAAGTGGTGTGGAATGTCAACGTCATGATTATGTCATTATCTTCTCTTCGAATTACATGTGCTATCCATTTTAGTTGTTTATGCTGTTGATAGTCCTCAGTTGATTTGATTTCTCTTATTTGCTATATTTCTTTCTTTGTGATTCTGTAGCGCCAGTCCACAATGTTCAAGGAAAGATAGTCTTCGGTAAGATCCACAGGCTTCACTTGCTCCAAGCCATTTTTATCCATTGATCTTAGAAAGAGGTTGTATGCAAAAGGTTTGGTGCCATCTATGACATCCACATGATGAGGTTATTTAAGAACTCCAGTTTTCAATTTGATGTTTTGGTTTTTAGCAGTTTGCAGTGTTAAGAAATTTTATATATATATATATATATATATATATATATATATATATATATATAATGGTGGAAGAAACAAATATTCGTAGACATATAAATTTTTAATTAATTGTATTTCCAACTAATGAATAAACATACTTTTCATATAATTAACTATACACGGATGCATAATAACTAAACATGCATAGAAAACAGAAACAATTTTGATTTAATAGAAATAAATTCCATTTATCCATTTTAATGGGTGATAAAAGTATTCGTACATTACAAATTTCAGATTTTAAGACTCTTAAATTGCTTTAATTCTCTAGATTATTCAAGTGGAATATTCTAGAAAGACATTTTTATGTTTATACATTTTTTTATAGATACAAATATTTAAATAAATGCTCTGTTTATAATAAACAGTATTAAACAACATTTACCGGCCTGAATGTCCGAGAAATTTTCACAGACATTCAGGCCGGTAAATGTTTAATACTGTTTATTATAAACAGGACATTTACTTAAATATTTGTATCTATAAAAAGAATGTATAAACATCAAAATGTCTTAAAATAATTGTCGGACTTCGTCCATTTCATATATATATATATATATATATATATATATATATATATATATATATATATATATATATAACCACTAGATTACTCATAGTTTTACTACCTTCTTACATGTACACAAGTATTTCTTGTTCTTTATGATGAAATTCACTGAACTTTAAATTGACTCTTGTCCCACGTTACATTATAAAAACATCAACATAATTGTATTATAAACGCCCAAATGCGTACATAGATACGGGTAAAGAAAGCGTGTATCCCCAGCTGATGACACTAAACAGTTCTTAAGATTCAAAAATGTGTGTATGTTTGTGTTTTTACGTTTGTTTGTGTGTGTGTGTGTGTGTGTGTGTGTGTGTGTGTGTGTGTGTGTGCTTGTTGACAGGAGCATACATACATGCACAACTTGCGCACTCTATTACTGTATACTTGTTGGTGTTGTTAAAAGTACAAATGCCGCCTTGCTAAACACGGTTTCAAAGGGCAGAGACGTTACGGTAAAGAACAGGATCGGATTACAGCAATTTACAAATTCTGGTTAACGTTACGAGTGCGTGCTGGAAAGTTCTTGGCCCGACCCACTTCCCAAAATCAGTATTTCAACGACCAAACATTAGAATAATGACTTTGAAAAATGGGCCGAGCTACTAAATTTTCAGCACCTCCTGGTATATACAGAAAAATTTTAGATATAGCTATCCGTACGATACACGTATACTATATTTGAAATATAGCCTTCCAAAAATGCCAAGAAGAACTTAATTATTTTATTGAGATACTGACAACATAGGCACAAAAAAGAAACATTCTTTTCACAGATTTCAAAAGTTTAAAAACAAAAGTAAAATTTTATTTGCGGTTTCAAAAAAAAACTTAATTTAATACTTCTAAAATTTGATTAGAAATATTAAATTAAATTTTGAGAGAAACCGTCGATATATTTTACTTTTGTTTTTTAACTTTTGGAATCTGTGAAAAGAATGTTTCTTTTTTATGTCAGCAATGACGATGTCTTAGAGAAAATGGAAACAGAAAGGACACTTATACTTAACACCAGAAAGAGACAGTTGAAATTTCTACGGCACATGATGAGGAAAGAGGGCTTAGAAAATTTGACACTCACAGGACATATTAAAGGCAAGAGAGACAGTGGAATGCAGTGCGTCTCCTACTTAACGAGTTTGTGTAAAGGGTTGACAGATCAGTGATTAAGTGAAATAGCGAAAAAACAAAATTTACTAAGAGCTACAAAGGATAGGAAATTGAGGAGAACCATGATCGTCCACGCTCTGAAGGGACACGGTGCAAAGAAGAAGAAGTATCTTTCTATTCATGCCTACCTACTGAACGTTAAGCAGCATCGAGCCTGGTCAGTACTTAGATGAGTGACTGCACTGGAATACCAGGTGTTGTAAGCTTAGATCTGCGGATGATGTAATTGATAATGGGGGAGCCGAGTTCCAATTCCAATTGGGTTCGTTATATTCACTTACGCGCAAATATTCTTAAGAAACATATGAATCCACCTCTTTTCCCTCCAGCTATGGGTTAATTAGTAAGACTTGTATCACTAAATCATTATTATTTAAAAACAGAATAAAATTGCGTACGAAAGATTTCAGCATTAAATAACTCATAGAGGTTGATATGCTGTCAAACAAAAACAGCCAACCAACATAAAATGTTGATCACTCTCCAGACAAGCACTGATACCGACTCCCACAATTTACCTAACTACCAACGGATCTATTAATGTTTTTACGCACCAACGTATTTAGGGTCTTCGCAACACTTTCGTTATTGCTATATAGGGAATTTTCTCTAAGGAAAATGTTAAATTATTCAGTTCTCCTTGCTCCATTAATGATTTAGTTGGGATGAAAAAAATAAATAGTTTCGACTTAAAGAATAAAATTGTAATTAAAACAGAAAGTAATTTATGACAACAAAAATTAATAAAAAGTGCAATAATTTCTCAATATTTCGTGGTAAATTTACGTCTAGGTTTATTTTGCATTTCACCTTTCTTCTCAAATGTAGTTCTATTAAAATGGCGGATATTTAAAAACAGCAACGATGAAAATAAAAACAAAAACGCTAAGAAATTGAATCAAGCCATCTACGTTGTGCATCGAGATACATCGGACGCCAGAAATCTAAAATTTAAGTTTAAATTTAACAATGCCTGCATCTTCTGCCTTTCTCTTTTTTTTTTTTTAAATTTTAACCTAAATTTGTCTGTATTTTCGTTTCTTCGCCATACATATATGTGATTCTATCGATAAAATATATGTGTGATTCCATCGATAAAAAACATTATTTACTTTGAAGAAAGCCTTTTATAGGGGGAAACGCGTAAGATTTATTTCTATTTTGTCATTCAATTTCCATCCATTATGATTAGTATTATTTTTTTTTTTGCCTATTATTTCTGTCATCTTCTGCTGTTGTTGTTTTGGTTTTTTTTTTATCACAACACTATAAGTATAAATAAGCGAATCGGATCAGAAATCAAGAATACACCTAAATCATTATTTTATAGCGGAATTGCATTACTTTTTGGTTTCTCTATTCCATCATTGAACATTTCTACACTTTATGACTAAAGACAATGTTACTAAATTGAAAACCTGGAGGTGCAAAAATCCATTTAATATTTAAACCATTCTTATTCGGGGTGGGATGTGTGTATTGTGTAATGGATTGTCGCTTGGAAGGAGGAATCGGTGAGCCGAGTTCGAATTCTCAGAATCCTTCTGTAGAACCACATTTCTTTTGCCTAAAGTCTCTTCTTCATCGCTGCCATAAAGGAGGACATTACATAACAGTTCAGTATTATTTTCTTTACATTATTCGGACTATTGTCCTCATCTTTACTGCCATATTTATTACAACGTTTCAACCGTTGTACGCCTTGGCCTTCTTCAGGTGGTTGGAATGTTGAACTGGCAACAAAGATGAGAACAATAGTCCGAATAATGTAAATAGTGAACATAATACCTCATGTCAGAAATATAGGCAGTTACTGATGATTTTCTTTGTTTCTAATAAAATTTTCCTGTTTCTTAATACTTGGCTTAGCTTTTGGAAGGTTTTTTTTTTGCTATCTCAATGCGCCTTCGGATTTCAGCGTCACATTTTTACTTGTATAATTTTGGTATGCCCAATTTGTAATTCGCATGCTGGGCTGTCCCTTTTGCTAGCAACTACACATCTGCCTTCCTATTTTTAGTCATATATTCTTGCTTCTCTTTACTACCTTCTGTGGGTGCTCCTGTTGTTTACTTTTTGTGTCTACTATCAACACTGTGTCACCTGCATATCTAATGTTGTTAAAATTGTGGCTGCTAATAATGAATCCTGGTAGGACCTCTAATTATATCAGGATTGCTTGACTCTTTTTAGTGGAATTAAATCCTAGTCTTACGTCCCTTTCTATTCTTGTGTATTTAATGAATTCATTTTCTATCCTCATGCATGCGGTTTGTGTGATTATTTTGATCAAATGCTAATAGTAATATAAGCTGTTTCCTTCTAAGGAGACCCTCGATATTCACTGAGCGAGAAACTTGTACTATTGTCGATTGAAATTTATAAAATTTTTCTATTAAAACAATTTCTCAGGAAAATAGTTTTCTCAAGTCCAGTAGCTGTTATTGCTCTTTCCATTAGTGATAGGGGTTTCCTTCCTAACCTTTTGCCTGAAATAGTGTGAAATGTCAACATCTTGAATATGTCATTATTCTCTCTTCGAGTTACGTGTGATACCAATTTTATCTGTTGTTATTGTTGAAAGTCTTTAAGTGATGAGGTTTCTATTATTTGGTATTGTTCTCTGTGAATATGTAGCGCCAGTCCACGACGTTCGAAGAAGTATGGCCTTCACGAAGATCCATAGGCTTTACTTGTTCAAAGGCATTTTTAACCGTTGATCTGAGAAAATGGTTGTACACAGCTAACAATTTAGATATTTCTGAACAGGTTTGATACCATGTATGACATCCATATGAAAGTCCCGATCTAATGAGGCTATTTAAGACCATGTTCTCAGGTTTATGATTTTGTTTTGTAGCAATTTGTAGTGTTAGGTGAAACTACCCCTAACGCAGCCTATTTTGTATCCAATTTCCTTATCTCCTATGCTAAATTTGATATAAACTGACCCATACGCCGAAGTATTAGAAGTGTTTGCTATTTACTAATTCCACATCCTGAATTTTTATGATGGGTTCAGGGTATTTCTTTCATTCCAATTCCAGATCATAGTTTCTGTTTTAGAAAGGATTATCTTGATTCCTGTTAAATACTTGGTAGAGGATTTTAGCAATTTTATATAACAAAACAAAGTCATTGCAGTCGACTTTCTATATTTCTGACGACGTCAATCAGCTAAAAAATGCCTGTTGGATTAAGGGCCCTTTAGAACAATTTTATTCATAGTACACTTTGTTAGAATCAAACTCAGTAACTGTTGTGGTAGGATCCACCTAATTTGCATAGTGGAGTACCGACCATATAAATATGGTTGGTACCGGGAAGAGAGGGAGGAATCAAGAGATTCAACCAGAGACTCTGCCCGACTGCGACTCAGTCAACACATTCTCCAGGAACGGTCTTACCAGGAATATACAAAAGACTATATGTAAATATTGTGTACACTTTCTTGTTTCAATACATTTTGTTCTAAGTACATTTTGTGTTGCATTATTATTCCATGCATTAGTCAAGTTTCAACACTAACAATTACTTTTCAGCTGATCTCAGAAATAATCTACAATATGTTGTTAACTGGGGCAAGAAATGGTTTGTTAATTTTAACGCTGCCAAAATGAAACTGCTTTCTTTTAATCATCTGAGAGAACCATTTTTGCTTTCCACCATCCTGGCTAATGCTAACCTCCAGGAGAGTGATTCATTGCGTCTTTTCTGGCGAAGGTTTTCCCCTGACATGAAATGGAAAGACTATATTGAATCAATTTCTAGGTTTGCTGCTAGTGAAGTTGGTTCATTTTGTCGTGTTAGACAATTTTCTCACCCAAATCTATCTTACACATTTATAAGTCTACCATTCATCCATGCTTTGAATATTTCTGCCACATTTGGCCCGGTGCTTCTGCTATGTATTTAGAGATTCATAAAATACAAAGAATCATCTGCAATGTTATTGGTGCTGACCTGGTATCTCGACTTCAGTCATTTTCACACGGCCGTCACGTAGTTTCCCTGTGCCATTTCTATAAATATATTTATGGTAATTGTTCTGATGGTAATTATTCTATGGTACCTAGGGTACCTAGACTTTATCAATTTAAGCGCAGTACTTGGTTGGCAGCAAGATCTCATCATTTTACTATTGAACTGGCAAGATGCAACCGTAAGTTCTATGCTAACAGTTTCTGGATTTTTGCTTTCCAGTGAACTTTGATCTTCAAAAATTTAAATGCAATGTCAGTCGTTATCTTCTGTCTTCTTAATTCCTGTTCTTTTATTGTTTTCCCTCCTTAATGTTTTTTCTTTCTCATATTCTCTCACACTTAGTTACTCCTTGAGTCTTAGTGGTTTTATTGCCTAAGTTGGAGTGAAATGATTTTAAAAAAAAACTAAAAACTGCACCTATCAATACCAAATTTATTTATACTTTGGCTCAGTATTTATATACTTGCTTTTAAGTTTCAAATATACGGGTAGGTTTGCTTGTTATTTTGGGGGAGTAAGACCAACCAACCAACCACCCCTTTTATTAAATTTCAAGAAATTTCTTCCAACTACGAGCATTTCATTTGACAAAGCGTTTCATTTCATATATCTGTTAATTGGAATAAGGATGACTGGTAGTGTCTCGAAGTGCGTCATTTTTAATTTGGTCTACTTAGGAGATGCCAGGAATGGTTCTGGGTCATCTTATTTCTAATGGTCGAATTCTTCACTGTAATTCTGCTCTTAATCTCGAAGAGTAAATAAATATTAAGAATGCCAATACACACCATTCCGATCTTCGATGTTAGGTAGATATTGCTGCCTTTCTAAATTGGACGCCGTTGCTATTCTTCTTCTGTTCTTGAAAGTATTTTTCTTTTTATTCTGGAGTCCTCTTCCCAGAACCATTCCTGGCATCTCCTAAGTAGACCAAATTAAAAATGACGCACTTCGAGACACTACCAGTCATCCTTATTCCAATTAACAGATATATGAAATGAAACGCTTTGTCAAATGAAATGCTCGTAGTTGGAAGAAATTTCTTGAAATTTAATAAAAGGGGTGGTTGGTTGGTTGCCAAGATATTTGAACTGAGTCACTAATTTAAGTTTCTGACCACTGACTTTTATCTTGGCTGAAAACCTTTGCTCGTTGTTTGTCATAAATTTTATTTTTCCCAGCATTAATCTCCATGCCATTTCTACGCAGACAAATTTAAATAAATCTAAACTGCCCAAAAGTAACGGAATTCCCAGGGTCATTTGGGACAGGATTGGGTCAAATGTCAGTAAACTATATTACAAAAGAAAAGCTAATTCTCTGTCCATCACACACTGACTTTGCATGCGTGTATATAATGTATAATATATTTATCTGTGTTGTGCGCGAGTGACTCATATATTTTTGCGTCATTTAACACACACACACACAATTTGGCCGAGTTCCAATTCCCGTTGGGTTCGTTATATTCACTTACACGCAAATAGCCTTGAAAGTAAAAGGTTTGAATCCATCACTTCTCTCCCAAGCTATGGGTTAATTAATATGACTATCTATCTACTCTAACCCGTTCATATATATCTTTCTTGGATAAGGATAAACATTAATACTTATTGATAAAGGCCTCGTCTCTCTATATGTTCATCTGACCCGATTCATATCTATCTATCTATCTATCTATCTATCTATCTATCTATCTATCTATCTATCTGTCTGTCTGTCTGTCTATCTATCTATCTTAGCCTGTTTCTATTTATCTATCTATCTTAGCCTGTCCATATCTATCTATCTATCTATCTATCTTAGCCTGTTTCTATTTATCTATCTATCTTAGCTTGTTCATATCTATCTATCTATCTATCTATCTATCTATCTATCTATCTATCTATATTCCTCTACCACTCAGCCTGGACATACTTTGCTTGGGCTGTGAGACAAGAAAAATAACTTTTTAAAAGTTTAAAAATTCTGATAGTTATTAAATTGTATTGAACTTTACGGAAATTATTCGATAATACATACAATTATTTTTTAAAGATTATTTTTTTAATTCGTACAAAGATTTTTAGTCAGTGAATTAAAATAGATATGTGCAAATGTAAACGTACGTAGAAAAAATTGGAATGAAATTGGAATGGACAACTGTGTTACAAAGACTAATTTCTGCCTGGCAACAAACTATAAGTAACAGGAAAAGTGTAAGAACATAAATGTGCGGCGTTTTTATACTTCCTGTATTTAAAATGAATGTACTGCATAGGGTAATGGATAGCGGCTCGGACTGAGAAATCGGAGGGCCGAGTTCGAATTCTAGTCTAGTTATTTACATTCACTTACGTGCTAATAGCTTTGGGAAATGTATGAATCCCTCTCTTCTCGTCCCAGACTGCGTTCTATAGCCTTGTGTAGCAACCAGTCTGAGAGATGAAAAAAAAACTCTGAATTTAAAAACAGCTTCGAGAGGGTTGGGCTTCATCAGGCTATCTTGCCCAGGAAATACCACTGCTACTACGGCCTAAACCCTAACCAGTTACGGTCGAGTGATCGTGAGATATTTGTAATAAGTGTAGTATCTTAAATGGAGAAGCAATCTAGATTTGAAGCGAAGCGACAGATACGGAACAGGTAAAATAATTTCTAGTAGATGAGCGGCATGCATTTTTTTTCATTCTGAAAATACTACGTGTTTTATATTTTGGACGCGTAAATCAACTAGTGCGTGTGGACATATATATATATATATATATATATATATATATATATATATATATATATATATGCTACTGTGTGTGTATATCCGTGCACGCGCTAATGTGTGTTTATTTTTATACTATTGTGCTTGAATTTTCCCTGTGTAATTTCACTGTTTTGGCGCGAGTAAGCATTTGTGAGTATGGACAAGTAGTTTTCAAACTGGCAGATCGTTTAGTCGTTATTTATTTGTTCTACTTTTCTTTTTTTTCGACGGTGTTCCTTTCTTCCGCAACGGCGATATGCAAGCCTTTCTCCCAAGGTGGTCTTGCCCCAGGATCGAAACCCAGACACATACATTGTAAACAAGAACCACAACAAAGAAAATATCAAACGTATCTCCTTACTCACCTTTTTCAACCTTACTCTCCTATTTTCCCCTCGTATCTCCTTACACATTCTTCTTCTTCTTCTTCTTTTTCTTCTTCTTCTTTTTCTTCTTCTTCTTTTTCTTCTTCTTTTTCTTCTTCTTCTTCTTGTTTCTTCTTATTATTCTCCTTCTTCATTTTATTGAATTTTCCTCTTCTTATTTTTCCTATTATTGTTTATACTTGTTTTCTTTTTCTTTTTTCTTCGTTTTTTCCTTCTTTTTAATAATCTTAAAACCCTTAACGTCTTTCTTTTAACTCTACGCTTTCTTCTTTTGCTTTCATTCAACTTATCCTTCTTCGTCAGTTCCTTCTTTTCTTTATTCCTTTTAATCTTCTCCGACCTCCTTTCCTCTTCCTTTTTCATGTCTTGCAGCATTTTTCTTTTCTTTTGTGGACTATTTCATTTCCTTCTATCTCTCTTATGCTCTCTCTCTCTCTCTATATATATATATATTACTTTTCACGACTTTTCTTCGTTTTTTTTCTCTCCTTATCTTTATTTATATCCCCTTTCTTCTCTCAAGCAACAACTCCTTTTCTCTTTCTTCTCGTCTTTGTTTCCCTTTCAATATATATTTTTTCTTTCTCCATTTCCCTGGCTTTCTTTCTCTCTCCAGCTATCTTCCATTAATTTCTCATTTATTATATTTTATATTTTTCTTCTTTTTCTTCATTTATTTCGCCCTTCCTTCCGCACCAATTCCTTTTCTGTTTCTTTCTCTTTTGCTTTTCCCTCTTTCTCTTTTCTTTATTTTCGAATTTATCTTATTCTGTTTCTCTCATTTCTTTTTTTTTTTTTTTTTCTTCCGGTTTTCTTTACTTTTTTATTTCTCTTTTTCATTTCAGTCCTCTGTCTTTCTCTCCTTCTCTCCTTTCTCTCTCTCTCTCTCTCTCTCTCTCTTTCATTTACTTTTCATTCGTTTCCTTCCGTCTCCTCTTTCACCATTTCTATTTCATTCTTTCTATTCTCATCCATCTGTTTTCATTATTTGAATTAATTCTTTATAGTCATCCTTTTCGTTCTTCACATATTCCGTCTTTTTGTTTTCTCACAATTTTTCTTCTTTCTCTGTATTTCTTATTCACTTAATTCCCCCCCTCCGATAATCTCCATACTCTCATTATTGCCTCCCTATTATTAATCTCTCACCTTTCTTTCTTTCTTTCTTTCTTTCTTTCTTTCTTATTTGTGCAGAATATTCTGTTTCCTTCATACATTTTCCCAGCTGCTTTTTCTATACTTCATCCTTTTTCTCCATATTTCTGTTTACTTTTTTCTTTTGTTCTTTCTTTCTATTTTTTCTCCTTTCTTATCCTTCACATCTTCCTTTTCTTCTTTTGTCCTATATTCACATAAACACTTGTTTTCTCCTTACTTCATGCACATAAAATATTCTCCTCTCCGCATCTTTTATCCTCCTTTTCCTTTCTCTTTTTCTATTCGTTTTTATATTGACTTCTACTTTCTCTTTTCTTTGCTGTCTTCTTTAATTCGTTCTTACCATACTTATTTACTTTTCTTACATTCTCTCCTCTCTCTTTCTCTCTCTCTCTCTCTCTCTCTATCTATATATATATATATATATATATATATATATATATATATGAAATGGACAAAGTCCGACAATTATTTTGAGACATTTTTATGTTTATACATTCTTTTTATAGATACAAGTATTAAAGTAAATGCTCTGTTCATAATAAACTGTGTTAAACAACATTTACCGGCCTGAATGTTTTCTATGAAAATTTCTATGAAAATTTTTATGAAAATTTCTCGGACATTCAGGCCGGTAAATGTTTAATACTGTTTATTATAAACAGAGCATTTATAAATACTTGTATCTATAAAAAAATATGTATAAATATATATATATATATATATATATATATATATATATATATATATGTATGTATGTATTTATGAGGTAGTGCTGGTCTGGGTCAAAAGGGTGTCTGTTGTAACATCCTATGTCTGGCAACTGGACTCTGCAACATGCCACATAAACAGAAAAAAAACGAGTCATGGCAGTCAGACAATTTCTGTGGCTACATCGCTCCTTACATTTGGCCACCTAACTTCCCAGACTTCCCTTGATTATTATGTGTGTGACGCAGTTGAATGACTGACAAACAAAACTCTTTGTAACACCAAAGATGAACTGAAGGCAATGATTATGACAGCATCACCAATTCAGACTGTCCGGTAAAGTTGCAGGACATTCCGAAGTCGCCTGAAGGCCGTGGTTGAGTCAATGGCAATTTTATTGAATAAATTTACTTTTTAGTATTTCAAGATACTTTTGTTTCATTTGGGTAAATGTATTTGTTAAAATAAAATGTCAGTGTTGTTTTCATTTTTACGTAATTTAGAAGACAATTTATCCATCGCATCCTGTATATACATACAAGCAGTGTGGACACGGAGTTCAGCACCGAGTGGCAACAGTCTATTTCCTGCTTAAGATTGCGTTGACGCAGGACTTTCGCCAATTGGTGTTGAACTGTACTTATATTTACATACGCTCTACCCCGAATATTCACCACTCTTATAAATATAGTATAATCTAAAAAATATATTTTATTACACACACACACACACAATTATATACATATATATATTTATAAAAAATTATAACATAAGTATATTTTAAAATCACTACAAAAATAGCCATTTTGTTTCAACACACTCGGTGTCTTATCAAGTGACTATGTTGAAGATAAATAAAATTATTTTATTTTATCTTCAACATCATCGATAAGACACCGAAATTGTTATAATTTTTTTATAAATAATATTTATATCTGCTCTACTTTGTATTGAGCACTCTTTTAAGAATAGTAATTGTTGGTTATTGAATTCATTCCGTATATACCAATTATATACATATATATATATATATATATATATATATATATATATATATATATATATATATATATATATATATGTATGTATGTATTTGTATGTATTTCTAATAATGCCTCTGCTGTAGAGAAAGATGATTACTGATCTAATCTTAGAAATATTACTAACCAAGACGAAGTTTAATAAATATATGTAGTTTTTATTATAGATTTCTTCTTTCTCCGGATGCATCAATTCATTTTTTTTTTACTTCCGATTTCTTATTTTCTTTTCTACAATTTTCTATCAATTTTTCTCTCTTTTGCCTCTAATTCTCTTTTATTCTATTCTTTCCTTCTCTCTCACCCACTCGCTCACTTACTACATGTTTCAACTTTTTTTCTCTCTTTCTTCTTCGCATTTTTTTTCTTTTCTTTTTTTTTTTTCATAATCTTTTTTCCTATTCATCTTTTATGTTTTTTCCTATTCTCCTGTTTGTACTGATTTGTTTTCTATTTCTTCCCGTCCACCTCTTCGTTTCTAACTTACATTTCCAACCTTCTTTTAATCTTCATTTTTCTTTTTTTTTTTCTCATCATATTTCCACTCCTTCTACAACAATCTGCTTTTTTCTTTCCTTTTTTATTGCCTGCTTTTTACACAGTTCTTCAATCTAACATTTTCTTCTATTTCTCTTTTTTTTACTCTCAACATTTTTTCTTTCTTCCTCCTTTACTTCTTTTATTTCTTATTTTATTTCTTCTTCTCTGCTTTCCGTTATTTTAATTTTACTTATTCGCGCTTCCTCTTCCTTCTCCTCCTCTTCTTTCTTCTCCTCCCCCTCCTCTTTCTTCTTGTTCTCAACACTTTCCTGTCTGCATCGTTTTTTCTTTGTCTTTATCACTCCCCACCATTTTATCCTCCACTTTATTCTTATCTTTCTTCCCCTTCTCATCTATTTTCCTCTTTCTCTTCTTTTTTTCCCCATTTTCTTTTCTTTCGCTATATTACGATCATTCTCATTCCTTTTCGTTTACTGTTAATTAATCCTAGTCATAATTGTTTATTTATTTGTCATTTTTTTTTCATTATTTTTTCTATTTCTTCTCTGCTTTTGATTATATTCCTTCTATTTAATTATTCATTAATTATTCTTTTCTTCTTCTTCTTCTTCTTCTTCTTCTTCTTCTTCTTCTTCTTGCTTTCTTATTTGTCTTCAGCACCTCGTTTTCAACTCTAGACAACTCTCTTCCACCATTTATCACTTCTCTTCTTCAATATATATTAAATTTTCCTCTTGTTATTTTTTCCTATTTTCTACGCTTTCTCTTTTTTTATTTCCTTTTTTTATCCTTCTACCAAACTTTCTCTCCTATTATCACTTTTTCATCCTTTCTTCTCAACCATCTCTTATTCACCCTTTCTTTTTTCTTTCATCCTAATTATCCACTCTACATTTCTCTTTTTCTCATTTTCTTCCTCATCATCTTTCTTTCTTCTCCTCTTTCCTTCTCTCTTTCCATTCATCTCTCTTCCACATTTTCTCGCTTTTCTATTATACATCTCCTTTTAACCCTCCTTTTTTAATTCATATTCCTCCCTTTTCTTTCATTTCTCCTCTTTGTTTCTTTACCACCCCTTTCTATTGCTCTTCCTTTTTACTTATCTTCCTTTCACCCCTCCTCCCTATTTTCCTCTCTCCCACTCTTTTTGTTCTTCTACCGACCTTCTTCTCTCTATCCCCAACTTTGTTCCCACAATGTTTCTTGTTGCAGCAACGAAAGACAAAATTTGCGTCTGAAGAAATTTATTTCCCATGCGCTCTTTTTTTTTACAACTGGAAAAAAATTATCCGTTTTGCAACTTCTAAAATAACCCTGACATTTCTTTTACATTTTTTTTTCATTCTTCTTCGCTGCAGTTTTGTCTACATATCGTCTGCATATGTCATTCGCCTCATACCTCGCCTCAGAGCTGACTGATCAAGTTTTCTCTTCATTCAGTAAAAAATAAATAAGCGTGTTGTCAACCTCTGTGTTTTTTCCTCGAACAGCTCTGAACTTTACCGAATCTGATAGTCATTTATTACGCTTCGTTTCGACTAGCATAGGGCAATAATAGTGGGGCACCCAATGAGGATCAAACTCACGAATGAACAAGATTCTTCTTCTTCTATGTGCTGTATTCCTTTTGGATGTCAATGATCAATGCTCTTCATGATTTCCTATTTTTTGTTCAGTCATCACTGACTACTATTGCTTGTCTTGATAAAGTTCAAAAGCTTCTACGCGGCCTAGTGGGTGAATGGTTATTTTCAACCTTCCAAACTCTCCCATAGGCAAAACATCGCAAGCCTCTTGCTATTATGTTGCAATTTTCAGGAAAAATGTTCTGACTAAATACATTCTTTAGTTCCACCAGTTCTGATTTTCACAGCTAAGACTCGCTATGCCAACTACACTTGACAATTCCAAATCTTTTTCATTTGTACGCTCTTACTTCTTTAAATAATGACCTGCATTAATACTCACGACTGTTATTGCAGTATATTTTTAAAGGTGTTAACCTCAAATGTTTAACGCTGCAATAGTGGAATTTCTACGGTTATTTTATATTATTTTATAGGCACATGCAAGGAGCTTATTCATTCATTAACTTAAGAATTATGATTCATCAGAAAATTCATCATGCAAAACCGTGAAATTTTCGTGGGTATTCATCTTTTATGTACCGTGTCCTTTCGGGACGTAGGCGATCCAGTCCTCCACATTCTCCTTTCCTTTGCAGCTCTTAATAAGTTTTGTCTTTTTGTTATTTCTCCCAAACCCTCTACTACATTCCATTTGCGCAAGCTCACCAAATTTGTTACGCACGGCTTTCCTCTTTTCGCATTTCCCTCAATCTGTCCTGTGAGTATCAGGCTTTCTAAACCCTCTTCTTCCTCATTACTTGTCCCAGAAATTTCAACTGCCTCTTCTTGATGTTAAATATAAGTTTCATTTGTGTTTCTATTTTATCCAAAACCTCGTCGTTGCTCACATGTTCGGCCCATGGAATCCAGCGACCCTACGACCACATCCGGTCATGAGACTGACGCTGATGATAATAATGATTATGATGTGTGTGTGTGTGTGTGTGTGTGTGTGTGTGTGTGTGTGTGTTGAGAGAGAGAGAGAGAGAAAGAAAGATAGAAAGGACTTATATAATCTAGCATGCGGTTATGACAGCGAGGTATCTTTCTGTATAACCACATTTCTGCTGCTTCAAGTCTCTTTTTTATCATTGAGAAGATTACCTAGCATTCGCTGACATACAGGAGGAAACATATCACGTAACATTTCAGTACTATTTTCTTTGTTTCTAACGAAAATTTCCTGTTTCTTAATACACTGCTTAGCTTTTGGAATGCATCTTTGGCCATTCCAATACGTCTCTCCGTCCTCTGATAGAACTCTTCCCAGCCGTAAGAACATTTCCGTGTCTATTATTCCACAAAGAGGAATAGAATCTGACTGTTATCTGATTCATTTTGATTGCTGATTGAGCGTCAGAATCAAAGTAGTTTTCTAGATGCCGAAGATTCTGTTCACACTAAAATGAGTTTAGTAGAAACAGAGAGGGGGGGGATGTTATTTGCTTCTTACACTTAATCTAGCTCCTTTAAAACACCCACTATTCCTAAGACATTCAAATATAACTTACCTATCATGAATCTAAGGATCCAGTTCGTAGATGAAAAATTAAAATTATAGAAAGAAACGTTGTACAGATTTACTCATTCAGAAATGATATGGTAAGCCATTTCTTAACTTGAACGAACAGGCTGTAAGCGCGAACTTAAGTAGAATTTGATACAGTGGTGAATTTATGTGTAATCGGCTTGTAACGGCGTACCTCGGCATTTTCAGCAATCATGTTGCATCTCATGGAATGCGAGTCAAGGGCGCGATTTTATTGCCTCGTTTTCAAACTCCTGGGTATGACGATAAACTACATCCGGCAGCAAGTCCTCTGATCAGGAGATTGGAGATTTTGAAGAGCGTTGAACAATCTCTTAATTGCTGTTGTTCTCAAGTCCAACCTGACCCGGGATGGTAGTACCTGTTACAATCCCAGCTATTGACAAATAATGAACCCCCAAATAAAACACTATGAAAGAATAAAAATACATTCTTATAGTAAAAATACCAGCAATGCATTTTTCTATAAAAAAGGACTAAAAATATATCTTTAAGGAAAAATGATCGGTAATATATTTTATCTGTAGTTGTTGGCATACAATTGCATTCAAAATATATTTACATGAAACCATGCATTTCTTTTCAAATTATTTAGATTTTGGCATTCAATAACTTATAGATGTTGATATGCCGCTAAACAAAATCAACCAAACAACCAACATGAAAGAACTCTTTTAGGACATTAATCCATATAATATCAACTTCTTCAACAAATCAAACTGTATTTCAAAATATGACTTCCACAAAACTACAACATAAAATAAACATATCATCGTTTCTAGTAATCATGTCCATACAAACATGTATATGCACAAAAGCTGAGTATCATCTACCATGTATTCAATTGTGAAAGTAGAATAACATATATTTTTATTACTTCAAAGTTCCTAAGAAAATTAAATTTCGGTATTAAATGACCCATAAGGTGTTGATATGCCGTTAAGCAAACAAATCAATTAAGCCAAGAGATATCAAAATAATCGGGTTGATTTTAACGACCATAACAAGCAATATTTTGTCCTTACGTTTGACAAGAGTTCAAAGTTCGGGTAAGGAAATTCACATCAGTCTAATCTAAACTTGATAACTGAGACCTGTTATTACACAATCAAAATGTTCGTTTGCTTTATAAAGTAGAAATAAAAAAATTATATTGTTTTCAACATTAACTTTTTTATCAACATGTTTAACATATTTCAGTTGAGAGTCAGATTTCTGTCATGGTCGGTTGATCGGCAACTAAACCGGTTCCTCCACCAAGCTTTTCTGGTAAAGAGGGTAACCAGACAAAATAGTGCAAAAACAATACTTTCAAAGGACGCAGAAGCCTCTTTGCGCGGTCATCGGCTATCAAGCACAATGGAGTAGACTTGGGTCCATAGCTATGTATGCATTCAGTTTCGTGATGATATGTCTTCACTGGACGGAGGACTTCCGAGAATTAAGTCAACATCCAGGGCGGAATCTTCCCATGGTGGGATCACCGGCTGTGCATGCATGATTAAGGCGAACCTTCAAGTTTGACATGTTGAAGCTCCACCAAACCTAGTTGTCAAAGACACACTATGCATGAACGAATACCTCCCCTGCTTTCAACCCAGACATATAAAGGGAAATAGTCAGATGCTCAGTTCCGCAGCAGCGACCCTACGTCCACACTCCTCCCATGTCTTTTAAACAAGAGTAAAGGTTTGTCGCTTGTTTCCTACTT